AGCCTCCTGGCGTCTCCCCCGTTTAGGGGAAAAACCAAGAGGCAACCTTCCCCTCGACGCTACGTGAGCACTTCAGGTAGGTGTTAAAAATGACATAGCAATCGCATATTTTTTTTTATCCCCGCCCGCTACATGACCGTTTAAGGATTTTTTTTTTGTTGTTTATTATTTTATCCCCCTTGCGCTACGTGAGCACTCCGGGGATTACCCATCTCGTCGCAAACATCGCACTGGCTTCTCGCCCTACTAAGCTACGTGAGCACGCAGGGGGTTTGCCAGTTCGCCGCTAATGACGAGAATGGAAATCAAAGTTTCGAGATTATACCTTGGGGACCGACAGTGGAGGGCACAGAAACCGAGGTAAGGGAGGGCAAGCATTCTTTTGTTATTAATTATAATTAACATCAATTAAATATAATTAACATCAATTAAATATAATTAATTAAATAATTACTTTTAATTAATCATTTATAACTAATTATAATTAATTACAAATAATTAATTAAATTTTATTAAAATTAATTAAGACAACAAGTTATAATTAAGTTAAAGAAAAAAATTAATTACAACTTAGATGATATTAATTAATTATAATGAAATATAATTAATTAATAATAATTAACTTATAAATTATGATTAATTAATAATAATTTTAATTAATTATATTTAATTAATATAATTATAATTAGAAATAAATTATTTTATTTATATAATAAAAAAATCCCTCAGTTCAGCAGGTTTGCGGTTTATAGGCCGAAGCAGCGTGCGGCAAGGGAGAAAGTTACCTTCACCACCAGCGAGCTCCTATCGTTGGCTTCGATCCGACAGGTAGGGAAGTTGGCCATGGGGTGAAGCCGGAGAAGCACGCTGACAGTAGGGAGTTACCCTCACAGCAGCGAGTCCCCCTTGTTGCTTCCGACCAGAATGTTGTAACTTCCGTATTAGGCCGAAGCAGCGTGCGGCAAGGGAGAAAGTTACCTTCACCACCAGCGAGCTCCTATCGTTGGCTTCGATCCGACAGGTAGGGAAGTTGGCCATGGGGTGAAGCCGGAGAAGCACGCTGACAGTAGGGAGTTACCCTCACAGCAGCGAGTCCCCCTTGTTGCTTCCGACCAGAATGTTGTAACTTCCGATCGACTCAGAGGGAACGTCGTCGTCAGAGCAAGGTTGGGCAGCGTGAAGGAGCCGAAGAAGCCACGGGAAAGGGAGAAATTTACTTCACAGCCAGCGGTGTCGCGTTGTTGCTTCCGATCGTAATGTCGTAACTTTCGATCCAACTGGAAGAAAGTCGTCGAAGGAAAAAATTGAGAGAGACGAGAGAGATCGGAGAAGAGGAGCGAGAGCCAGAGACCTTCGGCTTCTTCTCTTCGGCTACTCAACGACGCGAATGTGTCGTGCGGGCGACGTGGGGAGAGTGTCTTGGATGTGTCCGCGACGTGCGACGTGGGAGGGGCAGAGAGCACGTAAGCGAAAAATCTTCTCTTTTTTTTTTTGTTATTCAGTCGGTCAACACTTTCAAGAGAAATAAAGTTATTAATCTTTAAAAGGTTACTTATTATTTTTAATGAAAAATGAAAATGATGAACTCCAATTCATACGGAATAGTGTGGCCTTCTAATAATGAAAAACAGGAACCTATCAAGAAAACCACATACAAATAATATTGCATACAGAAGCAAAAAATCATACGAAAAAATAAATAAATAACTTCAATTGCACTTTCAACCAATAGACATAAAAAGGAAAGGAAGAAAGAAGAATAAGTCGTTGAAAAGCCTCAAGCTTGAAACAGGGCAAAAGCTATATTGCAATTCTTCAAACCATAGAATTGATAAGAGACAAATCCTAGAAAGAAAATAATGCTTCGCTCATCAAAAAGATTTTTTCAAACTAGCCATAGGTTGTTTACCTAACGCAAAAGCATATTTTAAGAAAATAGGAACCATGGATGTGGATATGATTCCGACAAAAAGAAGGCTTCAACAGCAAAAAAAAATCCCTAACAATAGAATCAGAGCACAACCAACAAAAAGTCATTGTCAGTTGAAAATCTCATTAGTCCAACCCATCATAGCTAGTATTTCAATTCGTCATGGGCATGCGAAGAAGTTTACTAGAAGTTAAAGATTAACTAAATTATCCAACATAACTACAATTAAAAATTCAAAATCAAATGATGAATAAAAAAAGCATTTTATGTTTCTGGCTATAGATTGTTAGCTCGATAGAGCAAGGTGAGGAAGAAACCAACCATGAGGTTCAAGATCAAGCTCGTGAAATGGAGCTCAAGGGGTGATCACGGTAGGTGCAATGCTTGTGCACACAAAATGGAGAAAATCTAAGGCTAGGGAATGATGGGATTAAAAACATGGAAGAGACGAGCATAAAAACATGCAAGAGCATACAGACATGAATACCAGTTCTTCTTACATGCTTAACATTAGTTTCTATAAATTAGATTAAAAAAATTGTGATTGCTGAGTATACAACATATGTTATGGCTGCCTGGTAGTTTGTGAAGAAATGAATGTTCCCATTAACATTTTTTTTTTTAATGTTCCCATTAACATATTGACACTATAAGCTCTAAAATTTATTTGTTACGGTGCAGTACTAAAGCTAGGTCGAACAGATATAAAACGTCCATCTGATTCCTTAGGGAATTGCCTGGTAAATTAAGTAGCTTATCAAAAAAAAGTAAGGCAGATATTGATTATTCAAAATTGCAAAGCACGTCTATGAGAACAGATAAGCAGTGTAACAAACATTATTAAGAATATCATTTCAGACATGCTAAGCATAAGACCACCTTAACCTTATGAATAAAACTTACTCTTTCTGAGGGTTCACTAACTCGAATATTGGACTCAACTTTTCGCCTGTAACATGTATGGTATAGCATAATTAAGTAAAAAGCACGTGCCAAAACAAGTACCAAAAGGCAAATTAATTACAGGAAAAAAAGCCTTGGCAAAGGTTTGAATCAAGAAGTTTTTTCTCATTCAAATATGCTTTTAAGAAGCAAATCGGAGCTTCAGCATTAAGAAAGCATCAAAGAAAAGTGAGAGAACTGGCAATAAGAACACATGCTATCAAAAGGTGTGAAAAGCATGGCACGGACATACTCTTGTAAGTTATCCTTAATACATCAAAAAAAACGTTTCCAAAATTTAAAGCAATCATGCTAACAACTTACAAAGGTCATTTGGTTGTTTGTTCATAAACATATGTATAAGAAAATTATGATTTTCTTTTTCACTCATTTTGTTTGTGGAAAATCATTAAACATAAAGGGGTTTCGAGGGGATTGGTTGAGCTAAAAAATTAATATTGAGTTCTAACTACATGCAACTAAATGCTGGATCAAGGTAATTTCAAAAGTTTTTGAAATGTTTATCCTAACGTCAAGAAAATCAAAAGGTTGTTTGGACAGATGTAACATGAAAATAAAAAGGAACGAGTCATAAATGATTAAATTAAAGAAATTACAGCAATAGCAAATATTGAAAGTAAAGTAATTAAAAATAGACCTTAGGTGGTTTACTTGTGTACAACGGAGTGCAAAAGATGTAATGATATACAATAACAACAAACCTTTATCACACTATATAGGGTCGGCTACATGAATTATTATTCTCCATCATGTTTTGTTAAGAGTCAAATTCTCAATTAAATTTTATGCGACTGTTTTATGACCAAGTCTTCTTAGGTCTACCTCTACCTTTCTTAACATAAGCCAAATATAATATATCTACTCTCCTAATTAGGTGATTGGAAGGCCACTGTTTTATGCGACCAAACCATCTAAGGTGACTCTTTCTAATCTTATCTGCCACTTGGGCTACTACAATCTTTTCACGTATATGCTCATTTCGCATGATGTCTCCGAGAGTAAAGCCACTCATCCACCAAAGCATCCTCATCTCTGCAACACTTAACTTAATTTTATGCTTCTCTTTTAATGGCCAAAATTCTGCGCATAAAGCATTTCAGGTCTCACCACCATCTTATAGAATTTTCCCTTAAATTTGAGGAGTACTTTTCTACTATCACACAATAGGCCCAATGCATTCCTCCACTTCAACCATCTAACTTGAATTATACTAATAATATCCCCATCTATTTCACCATCACTCTTGAACAATAGACCCGAGATATCTAAAACATATAATCTTATTAATGACTTGATCGCCCCAAAGTCACAATACCCCACTAGATCTATTACTACTAAAATTGCACTCCATGTATTTGGTTTTATATCTACTCAAACGAAAGCTTTAGACTCTAAGGTTGACCTCCATAATTCAAGTTTACCTTCAACTGCCTCTCTAGTCTTATCAACAAGAAGAATATCATCAGCAAAAAGCATACACTAGGGTATATCCTCTTGCAAATGTCTAGTAAGAACATTTATGACTAAAGCAAAAAAGAAATGGGCTTCATGCTGATCCTTGATGTAATATAACTAAAATAGGAAAATAATAGAACCACCTTGTGTTTGAACACAAGTAATAGCTCCTGCATACATATCCTTAATAACTTGAATATGAGCATTATTAACCCCTATCTATTTTAGAACTTTTCATAGCACTTCTCTTAGAACTTTGTCATATACTTTTTCTAAATCAATAAATATTATATGTAGATCCTCATTATTCTCTCTATACTTCTACATCAAATCTCTCAATAAATGTATAGCTTCCATAATAGACCGACCCGGCATAAATTCAAATCAATTTTGAGAAACATTAATATCACGTCGTAACCTATGCTCAACAACTCTATCCCATAGTTTTAAAGTATGACACATTAACTTAGTTCCTATATAATTCACACACTTGTGTGCATCACCGTTAAAAAAGTGAAAAGAATCAACACACTCATTTTTCACTCATCTAACATCTTTTAGTCATCAAAATAATAATGAAAATTTGTGTAAGCCAAGAGATTCATCCATCTCTTAAGCATTTCCACATCTTTATTGGAATAACATCAGGTCCAATAACTTTTTCACACTTCATTTTCTTTAAAGACTATCAAATTCAATTTTAATAATATGTCAATAAAAATAATCTTTATTTTTATTTAGGATGCTAAGCTCACTCATGTAAATTGTATCCTAACAATCTTCATCGAAAATCTTATCAAATATCTCATCCACCTTTATTGAATATCCTCTTCTAACAAAATCATTTTTTATCTCCATTCTTAATGCACTACAATTGAACTAAATCCTTACTTCTCTTATCTTTTTGTTTGGCTAACTTATATATACATCTTTCGTCCTATTTAGTATCTTATCTATTTGATAGGAAATACTTGAGTTCGCAAGTAATCCAACAGGAAATACTTGAGTTCGCAAGCAACCCTAGCAATAATTGATAAAAATAGTGAGAAAAACACACAAGAATGTGATGGAAACAATCCAAAATCAATGGATTATTGTTGACCCTTCTCTGTAGAAAAAAAAAAAGAAAAAAATAAAAAAAATCGTACCTGCCCGCACGTCGTCGCCGCATTTCGCACGTCGATGTCTCTTCTCCCACGACCCTATGTCGTTAAAATGAAAAGGAAAAGAGGCAAAAACCTCCCTCTCTCTCTTTCTCCCGCTCTTACCTCTCTCGCCTTCTCCCCTCTCTGTCGAATCGGAAGTTACGACATTAGGATCGGAAGCAACAACGTGAGCTCGCTTACTCCTAATCTCTAGAAGAAGTTCTAGAGCCCAAGCCACCAAGAGGAAACTCCAAATAACTCAATAATCATACATAACCCTAACCCTAAACAAGCCATACTATTAATACAATAATTCCCTAATTCAAACATCTCTATGTAACACCTCCTAGTACCCCTTAACAGTACAAGGAGTATTACTAACACAGACCTTTCATTTTTGGATCATATGATACTTTTGAACATTGATAATTTTATAAAACATCCAACAATTCAGTTCTCATACATCTCATCAAACTGAAGTAACTAATAACATTAAATTTCAATATAAAATACTTACAGAGTCACTATAGAAATCTAAAGTAACACTTCATTAGAAGGTTCACATACCTTAAACTTAATCTTACAAACAGACTTAAAACTAATATTAACATTTAAGTACTAGCAATTAATCATCTCCGATCTTTTCTTTTCTTTTTGCTATAACAATAGCTAGTAAGAAAATAATGGTGAGTTATGAGGCTCAATAAGCTATGCCAATTCAATAACCATTAAAATGTAATAATATAATGAATTACAACATTGAGCTAATAATTGGATCAACTTATCATTATTTGAAAAACATCACAAAAATCATATTGGACATCGTTATTTATGTCATTTGAGGTAAATACTGAATATTTAGTTTTTTAAAAGATTTGACTATACTTTCATAAACATATTCAATGGAGTCAAGGTCAATCTGAAATTATCACCATTGAATTTCATATAGGTCAATATTGCCTCTTTAGAGGTCCCTTTGCCCCAACTGCTATGTAGGTATCTATTTCCTTTGGGGCCTCTTTTGTCCCATCTATAATACAGGTTTCATATTGGGTCCCTTTTGCCCACCTGATAATGTAGATAATATAACATAAAATAGTCAATATTTACTAAATAAATATTTAGTAGTTCTCACATTTTCATAATTTATAACTGTCACCTCTCATTTAGCAGTACAAGTTATGCAAGAACTTGACAATTATTAATTAAAGAATGAATTTCTTTCTAACATATTATCCAAAAGAAAACAACAGACTTGATCACATGTCAATTGCTTATATATAATCACATCCTTGTATTCTCATAGTTACTATGCAAATATTCATAATGCATAGAATTTCTCAAATCATTTAAAATACATGATAATTATACTAGAAATCAATAACTTAAATTTACTTAGCTTACTTTCTTGACAAGTGGTCTCTTCCAAACCTACACCACAAAATATTTGCCTTTGATACACTATTCCAAAACCTTCTTTCTGCATGAATTCAAATAATTCCTACATCCAAGGTAACAATTGATATACTCATTTTAAAAGTCAACATTGTTTTTAAAGAAATTACCACTCAATTAAAATACGAAAATACTTACCTAACATCTCTCTTATCTTTCCTTCAATCCACTGTTCCTCAAATGGTTCGTACACTTCCCCCTCCCCCTACAAGTCATTACAAAATTTCACATTAATCACAACCAAATCTTTGTTACAGTTTTACCATATTTAATTAACTTCCATTTCACTTACTGTTACTGCTGTTTTTCTTTCCTACAATGCCACAATCAATCTTTCCTTCAGCAATTTGCCAACTTGCTCTATACCGAATTGCTTTATGCGGTGAGCCGAAGGAATCTACAACCCACTAGCAAACACTTTGCATAAAATCTACTATGTTGAATACTGCTACAGTGCCTCCAACACTTTGCCGAACACCACTCTTCCATTCTCTATACCGAGTCTTCATCTGACCGAACAAGGCAAGGAAATTTCTTCACTAAGCCAACCTTCCTTCCTCTATCTTGCTTGCAGTACTCTTTATCTCCAGCGAACACTGAAGGAGGCTTGCGGAATTCCCTTCTCCAATGCCTCTTCTCCAATCAATACACAAGAATGGGTGATATCCACGATAAACAAGACTGGAAAGAGAGCCCCATCCTCTAACCGACCCCCTCTAAAAGCCTCTTTGGAAATACACCCTTTCCAATTAATCAAGTTTTAATTAAATTACTTTAATAATTATCTAACTAACTTATTAAAACTAAATTATGATATTATTTAAACACTAAATAAATTAATTTACACATAATTACCTGAATATTTATGGTTCTTACACCCTAATTCAAAATCTCTCTCACCGTAGCCGCCCAATCCTCTCCACAAATTGCT